TTTTCACATGACTGATTCCCTCTCTTGCATGAAAGACTTGAAGCCTTGCCACAAAAGTGTGAATGGGATTGGTGGCGTGTCTTGTGAGGTAGCAGGCTCTGGAACGCTGGAGTTGGTGTTTGTGACTGCTGACAGTGAATTTTCCGTGGAGTTGAAGAATGTGTTGTACTCTCCAAACTTAGGGAATAATCTCTTTTCTCCGAGTGCAGAGTTTGATGGCGAGTCATGGAATGGTCTTGGTGGTCCTGATGGTGTGATGACTGCTTTCAATGGACAAGTAACCTTTCAGAACTTCGATGGCATGCTGATTGCGTCTGCGTATCGTCTAGGAGAAGCCTCTGTTGGCACGGTGTTGGCTGCTCTCACTCCCGCAAACCCCAAGCATGAAACCACGATGGATATCAACGAGTTCCACAACATTTACGCTCATTCGCATGAATGAGGGTTTGCTTCGCACTACTGCAAAGCGACTAGGTATCAAGTTGGTTGGTGACATGCATACTTGGTCAGGATGTTCGATGTCAAAGGCTATTCGAAAAGGAATCCTTAGAGAAACTAAACGTAGATCGGATAAAAAGTTGGGCAGAGTTTTTGTTGACCTGGGAGGAAGGACATTGCGTCCGTAGGGGGTAAACATTATCCCATGATTGTGAAGGATGATTTCACAAGACGTATATGGATGTATTTCCTGAGAAATAAATCAGACGCTGGCAGTGCATTCCGGACTTTTCTTGCGAGTGTGCGTGCTAATGGTGTCCCGTCATTCGTTGAGATTGTTAGATCTGACAACGGAGGGGAGTTTTTCGGGGGGGAGTTTGCATCTGTGTGCAATGAGCTCTTGATCAAACAAGAGTTCACACCGGCTTATAGTCCGCAATATAATGGTGTTGCAGAGCGTGGGCTGGGATTGATAGAAGAGGCCGCGATGGCGGCTCGTATTCAGGCTAAAGTTCTTTTTGGGCATGTGCAGTTACCTAAGACTGATAAACTCTGGGCTGAGGCTATGCACTGGGCTTGCGAAGCGATGAATCACACCGCGTGTTCTGCTAACCCCGACTCTATGTCGCCGTATGAAATGTGGTATGGTGAACCTCGTCCCGCTAGACCGTATCCGTTTTTGAAGCCAGCGTACTGCAGGTGGCAGCGACCGACAAAGCTGCTGCCGAAGGGTGAGAGTTGCTTTTATGTCGGTCCTTCGAGAGACCACCCGCGTGATTGTCATAGAGTACTTACGAGGGCTGGGACTATACAGGAAACGAGGGATGTGACGTGGGAGGTGTTGCAGTCACAGCTCCCTCCGCTGCAACCTTCTCTGCCAATAGAGGTCGCAGAGGAGGGAGGGGAGGATAGTGACGACAATGTTGAAACCGAGGTATGGCCGCTTGTAGGAAGAGGAGTTGCTCACACACTTTTGAAACGTGATGCAGTGCCTTCTGGTGCGAGAGTCGAGGAGGTTGAGAGTGTTGGCGCAGGAAGTGTAGGCCCATCATTTTCTGTTCCATCTTCCCCTGCTGAACCGTCGTCCCTCGCGAACAATTCTTTTGATAGTGTAGCCTCTGTGTCTTCTCCAATGCCTGTGAATGACGGGGAAGGCCAGGGAGGGCAGGAATCAGGGGAATTAGAGATGGGGGATCCGGGAGGGGATGATGAGGAAGAATCGATGGAACAGGGAGGGCATGATGATGAAGAGTCGATTAGGTCGGGAGGACCGGTAGAGGCGGAGGCACCCCCTCCAGCCGCTCGTCGTCCGCGGCATGTGGCCGAGCTTGCTGACTTCAATACTGCTTCGCGTGAGAATGATGAAGTGAGAGAAGGTAGGACTCGCGCGCAAACTCGTGCAGTCAACCAGCAGAGTGTTCCGGGCCTTGTGGCCAGCCTAGGACCCATCTCCGCTACGGAGTTAGTGTATACACTGATGTCGGAGCAGAGAGCAGGTGATGAGACGGAATTGCCGAAAGAACTGGTTCAGGATGTTGAGTCAGTACCTGATAGTTATCAGGAAGCCCAGCGTTCAAAGTACGCAAAGATTTGGGAGGGAGCCATGTCTGCTGAGGTTGAAGGCTTGATAAGAGCAGGAACGTTCACGTTAGCAGCAAAAGTCCCGATAAGCTGTAATGTGATAGATGCTAGATGGGTTTTCAAATGGAAAGCAGACGAAACAGGAAAGATAGTGAAGGCCAAGGCTAGGCTTGTAGCGAAGGGCTTCAAGCAGAAGTATGGTGTGGACTATCTTGAGACTTTCTCGCCTACCGCAAATGCTGCATCTCATAGATTGGTAGTGGCGTTGGCGTGCAAGTACAACTTGGAATTACTCCACTGGGATATTGAACAAGCATTTGTTCAGTCGGAATTGGATTACGAGGTGTTCATGAAGTTGCCTCCTGGCTGTGGTTCGATGTCAGGAAAGGTTGTCCGTTTGAACAAGAGTTTGTACGGATTGAAGCAGGCATCTAGAACATTTTACAAGAGGCTGGTGTCGGAGCTGAAGAGGATTGGTTTCGAGCAGTCTATGTCTGACCCCTGTGTCCTGCGTTTCATGATGGGAGACGAGGTAGTGGGGATGGTCGCAATTCATGTGGATGACATTCTGTATGCAGGAACGAAGAGTCTAGCTGAGGTGGTAGTGGCAGCACTAGGTGACTCTCTTCCCACGAAGAATTTGGGCGAGGTCAGGTTCTTTCTTGGTTGCGCATTCGTTCGCGACCGCGAGGCTGGTACGATTGAGATGTCTCAAGAGAGTTACATCAGGAGTGTTCTTGAGAGATTCAATGTTTGTCGCACCAGCTCGATCCCTGCTTCCCCTACTAACGATTACAGGTCCGTGATGGAGGATGAGGGGGCAGGAGATGTGCCGTTCCGAGAGGTGGTGGGGAGCCTGATGTGGATCGCCAACCAGACGAGGCCCGACATCTCGAATGCTGTGCGGGCGGTGGCAAGGCACTCTCACGAGCCAAAGAAAAGTCACTGGAAGGCTGCTCAGAAGATTCTAAATTATCTTCTGGAAACGGCACATCTAACTCTAAAATTCAAACCGGATAATTCAGTAGACGCAAGCACATTAGTGTACGTAGATGCTGATTTTGCGAGCAAGGCCAACGACCGTAGATCAGTTTCGGGAGCAATAGTGCTTGTGGCTTCGATGCCTGTGGTTTGGATTTCTAAAACGCAGAAATGCGTTTCACAGTCGACTTCTGAGGCAGAGTATCTTGCGATGGGTGACGGTGTAAAGGAGGCTCTGTTTGTGAATGGAATGCTTCAGTTCCTGAGACCTAGTGCGAAGCCTCGGAAGATAGACGTCCTTGAGGACAACGAAGGAGCGATTGCGCTCGCAGAGAATCCGCTTAGCTCGAGTAGGAGTAAGCACATTGATGTGAGGCATCACTTCCTTAGGAATTTGACAGAGGAGGGTGTTATCGAGGTCACGCATGTCCCAAGCGAGGAGCAGCATGCTGACATCCTCACGAAGGCTTTGCCGAGAGACCTTTTTGAAGTTCACCGCGACTTTGGATTAGGCTCAAGGAAGTAGAAGTCTGTTTTTTTTTTTTTGCTTTCATACATGCGAAGTAGTCTAAACGTATTTGGTCTGGTAGATACAAAAGCCCCCTAGCTAGGGAGGGTGTTCGTGGTAGCGGCCTTATGTATCGCCTGAGCTGCGGTAGAACATCTGATTGGATATTTTTAATTGCAGAACTGTCGATCGTAGGTTGTCATGCCGAGTGTTCTGCGAATACTCTTTGTGGTAGTTCGGTAGATTGTACACACGTAAGGATCGTACAACGGACCGTAGGTGTAAGTCGGTACGTTGGTATGTGGTACGTTGGACACTTGTCCAGTAGGAACGTTCTAGCATTGTCGCTAGAGGTCGGGCTTACGGGTCATTGTCGTGTTCGGTACATTGCTTTGTGTTCCGAGTGTGCATCTATCCGGAGGAGACGTTGGGAGCTGGGAGCATCACGCTCGCCCCCTGTCCTCACTCCACTTTCCGACCTGTCTCTCCATACCTAGTCTAGGTCTCACTAATACAATATTCTTCTCCAGAAGCCACTGATTTACCAACAATTTCGATATTCAGCTCCTGCGACAAACTTGAACGTGCAAGCACGCACGACGCCTCTTCATGGTGTCCTCTACTGATGACAGCAGTAGAACCCATCAGATACTTCGGGCGGAAAGATTGTCGACACATGTTGGAGCTACGTTTTATAATAGAGCCAGCGTCAAAATCATGTTGTTCTTCAACGTAACAGAGATGAAAAATAGTACACTGCTGCTTGGTAGCGGATGTTGACGGTCGACATAACGGAAACAAGAGCTCCTTAAAAATAAAGTGGCGTACGATGAACAAGTGAAGGGAAAGCCGACGGTATGGGCACCTGCCAGTAAGCCTGCCTTCCCCTTACGTTCACAGGTGGCCAATGGGCACGTTTACGGGGGGGTTAAAGTGACCTGTAACCCCTAGGCGTTGTACAACCTGCGTGACCCGGTCGGGCGCACCGTTTCCAACCTCCAAGGAAAGGCAGGGTTCGGAAACGCCGGCCCAAACCCAGTTAAGGGACATTTGTATCTGTGCTTGGTTGCAGGCGAGGTTGTCCAAGCCCGAGAACGTCCATGCCTTGCCGCGAAAACTATGTAGTACCAGCCGGTGTCCACAGAGTACACGACACACCTAATTTTTGGACATTCGCGGCAATAATAAAAAGAAAAGGCTTCAAAGAGTGCCGGCATTTATAGTCTAAGCCCGATTTTATAGTTGACTACCGTTAGACGTAAAGGTTGGCTCTCAGACAAGCACCGTAGGAGGGTGTGAATCCTCGACTCTTGTAAGGTACAAGAGGCCTCCGTGAGCAACGCTCGTGGGTATGGACGATACATGCGTAGAAAGCACCCGACAGACAAAGAAAGGTTGACAGATCTCGGGTGAGAGTCGAAGGGACAAGGATAGAAGTGACAGAGGGGTGCGAGCAGAGCGAGGGCACCGCCATCGGATAAGCCGACGTGGCGGGTACTGAGCTGGCACGCTGAGCTGGCACGCTGAGCTGGCAGGCTGACGTAGGCCTAGACACCGCCGTAGCGGGGACGAAATAGGCCGCACGAGATGGCGTGCGGCGTGTTACTCTCTGGCGCATACAAACTGATGCGATGCAAAAGTGTGCAGCGAGGACGAAAAGTTCTACCGCGTGTGTAGGTAGGTTCTCAACGGACAAGAGTCACTCACAGACGCGCAAAATTAAAAACAGTACACCCCCCCCATCTCCGCACCACTGCAACTAACTGCCCACCGGTCACCCCGCGAGTAGCCCCTCACCCCATCGTGAGTGCTAATTATCTTGCAGCTGTCGCGTTTTGGGGCCTCTGTTCTTACACCACAAAGAAAGGCGGGTTCGTTCTTGTTCTTAACCCTTTCGTGACTGGGTTCTTTCTGGATCTTCCGCGGTTTTTTTTGTTCTGCCGGGATCGAATAGACCGATGAGTCATGAGACACACACGACACACACACTTGAACGTTTGCACGTTTGCGCACCAACAGGTTCCCACACAGGTCAACCGCACGCACCCCGTGGTGCCACAAAGGTTTAGTGCCCAACAGCAGCGTAACCCTCACGTGAAGACTGTGATGGGTGACCGATAACTACACTGCTGTACTGCTGTTGTAGGTGCTGTTGGAAACCGGAGGAGAGAGAGGAGAGGGCGCCGTATTTCTTTACCCCAAACACGATTATCACATGATGATGGCATACATGGATACAGCAGCAGCAGTAGACATACATCGCATGCACAGCAGTTCTACATGTCACGCTACCCCGCCGCCGATGCAGCACACTGGCGCAAGGCATGTGGCACCGCCTCCAATGCCACTTGGTTGGGTGGGAAATCCTTTGGAGACAAGAAGCACACACGCACGTACGGTTTGTTGGGATGCATGCATGCGAAACGAAATGAAAAAGCGGCAGCAGCAGCAGCAGCAGCCCGCGGCAGCAGCAGCAGCAGCAAGCACGAGCCGCGCGAGAGATAGACTATGCCTTGTGGTGGCAGTTGGTTGAAGACGGACAAGGAAAACACTCGAACGCACACTCGCGCAGGAGAACTCGGGGAGAGGCCTCGTAAGCTTGGCCTTCAGTTCTGCAACCACATTCCGAAGGCAAGGAAGAGGGCACACAACTCAACAGCGAGAGCATGATTTTTCGTACCAGATAAAGACAGGTTTTATCATGCATGCTATCGTCCCTGAAGTCACGAAAACCC